CTATGAAACAAAGCAAAGGGTTGGTCTTGAATATAATTTCCTTCTATTCAGAAAGCATTTTTCTTTCATAGATGAGTTGCCTTTTTTGGCAGACAGCAACAAACTAGATTCTAAATAGAATAATTTTTCAAATTCTGTTCTCAAGAAGTTATAGTGCCTCCTCCTTTTTCCTGCCAAACATCTTAAAAGAATAAACTACACACTTTTTTTACCACTTTCCCTACACGCATGGTCTCTTGACCCTTTGGCAAACATATTCAAAACCACAAAAGCTACTGAAATTGTTCTTGGAGATCACCAACAACCAAATGCTTTGACTTTGTCTCAATGCTCAACATTCTCAGTCCTTCCCGCGAAACACTGCTTCTCTCTCCTGGAAACTTGACCCAACCTTAACTTTTTTACTCATTCCTTGTTCTCCTCCTGTCTGACTCTTCCTTTTGTCTTCTATCTCTTGCCTCCAAAGAATCTTCATTAAGATTCTCTCCTGTGTCCCTTCTACTATTATCATAGGTACTGCGATTTCAGTAAATGATTTTTCTATGGACTCACAAGTTAATATTTCAGGACAGAGTAAGAACCACAACTACCCCATGGCATAATTCATCAATTTTTCCTCTACTTCTGGCTTCTCCCATTTCTTTGAATCATGATACGATTGTCATAACAGTCATTACACTGAAGTCGGACTATTACAATAGCTTGTAACTCTCCACCCCATTTCTATTTTTTTCCAAACATTAGCACAGTGTTGTTAAATTACTATCCATTCATTGTAGATATAATTATATTCCTCCTTTACTCAAACCTCAATGATTCTTCTACAGAGACAAATTCTTCTGCAAATACCATGAACACAAATGTCTCCCTTGGCATTCAAAGTTGTATTCAAAGACATGAATAGTTTATCACCAATTTATCTATCCCAGTCTATTTCCTACACAAATCCTGTATCCCAGACAATCTGTATTTACTTTATGTTTCCCAAATGTTTTATCATTTCTTACTTCTCACCTTCTGTTCATCATTCCCTCTAGCTTGAATATGCTTTCACCATCTATCTTGACAACATTTAGCTGTATCTCAAACACAGTCTTTGCTGTAAGCTTTTCTTTGTGTTCTCAACCAGTTATAATTCTCCGCCTCTGCATTATATAGAATTAAAATTTTTCTTCTCTTAATTTACAGAAAATTTGCATTTACCTTACCCAGCTTTTTAGGTTATGAACTTCTTTTTTTTTTGGTATCATAAATATACAGTTACATGAGCAACATTGTGGTTACTAGATTCCCCCCATTCTCAAGTCCCCACCACATACCCCATTACAGTCACTGTCCATCAAGGTTATGAACTTCTTCTTATATTTTGTTCATCTTTGTACCCTCTTCAAGTCTTAGCACAGGGCTTATTACACAGACAAATAAGTTTATGTTTAATATTTTTTTCTTCAGGTCATTGTGCATTTATTGAACAGGTTGACTTGCAATCTAACTCAGAAGTTGTTTCAGTGCATTTATGCCAGCTTCATTTAGATATATAGAAAAGAACTAAGTTGGATTCCTATCTTATACTCTGTGAAAAAGGTAGACTCCAGATTGGATTAAAGATCTTCATAGAAAACTTGACACTGCAGAAAGAATGCCCGTTACCTAATGACGTAAAAGTATGGAAAGCCTTCTTAAAAAGATCCAGAAAATATAAGGCAAAAAACTGTTGGATGTGACTACATCAAAATTAAGGATTTCTGTCAAAGAAGGACATAAAAAATAACCTCACAGATGAGGATCATGAGAAGGAATTTACAGCATCTGAACCAGCAAAGAGTTTATATCTTGAATGTGTAAAAATTCCAAAAAATATACAAAAATCATTATGAAAAATATAGGAAATCTTCAAAGCAAAAACTGAGCAAAGGATTTTGATATATATTGTACAGAATAAGTCTCTAAGTCCACCAAGTATGTGAAGGAAAGTTCAGACTCACTAGTTATCAGAGAATTTCAAATTAAAGTAACCTTGAGCTACCACTCTATATATATGTAGACATAAGTCATTTTCTAAAGTTTATCCTTCTCATGGGTTTTATGTCTTTAACAAACCAGACTATTATGTATGTAAAATTTTGCACAAAATGGTTTCATAATGAAAAGGATCCTTTTGAAAGTGATGTATGCTTTTTCTTACTCAACATTATTTTCTTAAAATGTTTATTCATGTTGATATATGTTGATCTATCTGGTCTATTAATTTTAGCTGCTATTGAATTTTTCCATTGTATGAATAAATTTCAGTTTATGTTTCCATACTGATAATTCATATGGTTCTATTGTTTTATTTAAGTAATGCTGCAGTGAACATCTTTCTGTGTATCTCCTAGTGCATACATGTAAGAGTAGAAACCCATGTAAACAATTTGAAATGAAAGTGCTAGGTTGTAGATTAAGTCCAACTTCAGTTTTACTACATCCAGTAAATTGCTCTCCAAAGTGATGTATGAATTTATACTCCTTCCTATGTATGAATTTTTTCCCCATATTCTAGACAACACTTTTGGTGTTATCAAATTTGACATGTTTGTTATAGGCCTTTCAAGGTCTAGCAATAGTGAAAGGAACCATTTTAAATCTACATTCTTCAATTTAAGTTTTATTAAATATTCCTTGTGGTCATGAATGTAAATCTATGAGCTGCCTATTTTCCAATGAGAACCTGTCCAATTATGCCTTTTGATGGATTCAAATACATCAGGGATGACAAACTCAAATGACCTATTCCTGGTAGCAGGAATCAGTGAAATGGGTCAGGTATAAGAGACAAGAGAGACTGGTGGGGACTGTGGTGAACTAAAGAGCACTGGTGAAGTTGCTACTTAGAGCTGTAGATATTTGCCTTGGAGAATGATTGTCTATACTTGCTAGCTCACCTGAAGCTAGGAATCTTATGAATCTTTATATATAAAATCTCTAGATTTTTAAATCTTAGCACCTAATTTAGTTTCTTTTAAGTAGTAAGTAAGTGCTGTGGGCTAAGCAGAATAGGTGGTATTCTGTGGTGTCCATGGTCAATATTGGAATAAGCTAATGGGCCTATTCCATTCACTCACCTAGATTATATATATTAGAAAAAGGTTTATTTTCCCTGGAGCACGATCAGTCTGTTTTCAGGTTCTGCTATTTTTTTTACTATCTCACAAAAGAGTTTTATTTGACTGCTCCTGCTCAGATTTGAATGACTCACCATTTATCATTGATTGCCTCACAGTGTAAGTGTTCAGTCTTTTAAACTTAATAACCAAAGAAGTAAATGCAGATCACTTCCAGTTGTAAGTAATCATTAATATTCACATAATATTTAAGAATATATATCAGTGCTGTCCAATTGAAATGATAAAGTAAGTCACAAATGTAATTCAAAATTTTCCAGAAGTCATATTAAAAAGGTAGAAACAGTTGAAATTGATTTTAATAATATTTAAGCTGGTGTATCCAAGGCACTATCATTTTAATATGTAATCTATAAACAATCATTATTTAGATACTTTGTATTCTTTTGTAATAAGTCTTCAAAATTTGGTGTTTTTTATATTTGCAGCACATCTCAATTTTGACTAGCCACATTTCAAGTGCTCAGTAGCTACTTAAACTCATTCATACTACTTAAACTCATCTACCTCAGCAAGCTGCTTAATCATTTGCCTCATCTGTAAAAGGGGAATCATGGTAACAGTACCAAATATGGTTGTTGTGAGGATTAAATCAGACACATAGAAAGTGCTTAACATATATTAGTATATATGTGATCACAGGATAAATAGATTAATACATGGGTAGGGAGGTAGATAGATATTAATACGAATAAAGACAGATGTTTGTGGATAAAATTCATGCCCCATGCATTAACTTCAGTTAGCTTCAGCACAGCAAACCATTTTTTCATGATTCTAATGCTTTCTGTATTATTATATGATAATCTATTGAAGCAGATCTTTGCTTCATAGTTCCTGAAAAAAGAAATGTTTCACATATCTTTAAATAAAGTGGAAAATATCTTCTTCATAATTGAAGACAGGAGAATGATTTATGCTCTCCTTGTAAAGCTTGCTCTGTTAATCTTTTGCTTTCTGTGCTGGGGGAGGTAGAATCCATAAAGACAACCGTAGATGAACCTTGACCCTTATTCACTCTGAAAGAGTGTTACCGTTTGCTTTCTTTCACTTCTTCCAGTACACCAAATTCATTTTTTAATCAAGTTACTCTGCCTAGAACACTCTTCCTCCGTTCTTTACTTGGGTAGCTGGCCTCTTCTTACTCTTCAGCTTTCAGAGAGTGTCAGGCCTCAGGTTTACCTAACCATCTTTCCAGAGATCTTCTCTTATTCTCCACCTCAGCATCATAGTTGTTTCTTTTATGAGTCTGTATCATAATTTGTAATTATTCAGTTTTTAATTTAGTTGTTTTTGTCTCTCTTACAAGTATCTTCACCTCATAAGGACAGGGTCTAAGTCTGCTTTACTCACTAGTGAAATCTCAACAGCTAGCGGAGTGCTTGGCACACCTCCAAATATTTCTTGAGTAAATGAATTCATGGGTGTGTGCTGTTCCCTCATGTATTCAGTAGCTTTCAAGGAGGGAACTCACAGAAATGATTTCTTAAGCTAATGTGACCACATCAAAAAGCTATGGAAACTGCAGGAGTTTTTATAGTACCCACTAGATTGTAAATTCCACAAGGACTAAAACTGTTTGGGTTTGAAACTCAGTGCGGCCCAGCACAGGGCCAGTCACATATGACACATTCATATGTATTTGTTGATGGACTGAATAGATTAATTAATTCTGGTATGAAGCCTTAGGCTGGACACCTAAGCCAGGAGAATTTTACTTTAAGATAAAATTTAGGTTCACTTACAAATATAATGATTACAGGTGATTTAAAACTAGGGTGCTATAATAGCAGTGCAGTAAATGTATATTTTCTGTTTGTCTTTTTTTCCTAAAAGGGACCTGTTGGTGTACCTGGAGAAGTTGGGATGACTGGAAACATTGGTGAAAAGGTAATTTCTTTCATTATTTTGTCCAGTAATAAGAATTCTAGGTTTAACTCAAAGGAGAGACATCCGTATGATATTTTATGTTAATTAGAAGTCAGTAATAACTTTAAACACATTACCTGCACTGAATCTCTTAAATATATTGAAATATAGCTAGTATTATATATGTTTCTAATTTTTAAAGGGCAGAATACTCTTTTGGTTGTAATGATATGGTCTGGAGAAAAAAGATGAAACTGATGGTCTATGTTTTGACTAGAAAATATTTAAATCTAATTTTAACCCATCTCTTCCCAATTTCTCTTTTCTTTTAGTGTGCATATACCTATCTCTGTTCTTTAAGATTTCCAGAATAAAGTAATCTCATCTTTGCAATTACCCATTCCTCCATCCTCTATGCCTTTTCTCTTAGCAGGTCTTAGAGTTTTCTCTTCACAACTCATCCTTTCTAACAGTCAACCCAAAGCCACCCCCTCAGACATTCTTTTATCAATTTGTCTTAAATTCACGCTTTCTCACTTTTATCCTGCCCTTTCCCTTTGTGTAGTCTAGTCCATCCTACATAATATAATCAGAGGACCAACTTGATGAGTCATGATGAAACATTCTGAAACACCATTGGCTCCCTGTTGTTGACCCTATTAACTCCTCTGTCTGCTGTCAAGATGCTGTATAATTTTCACTTAATCAGTTTGTACAACAAATTCTCTGTCTTCCAGTATAAACCTTCCTCTCTTCCCTGTCTCATATACTTGTTCCTATTCCTAGTCTTGCTATTTTTTGGTTTAGAATATCCTCTCCTCTTCCCTCTCTTTATTCAAAGCCAATTTGTAGGACTCAAATTCCTATCTCTTCCATATAGTCTTCCCAGATTTTTCAAATTTTTCCTGATTTCTTTCCTTCCTGGACTTAAAGTGCCAGATAATTTAACATTTAAT